AATCCTCCTCGCGATTACAATAGTTCCTCGCCCAGTGACGTGGGAAGTAAAATGTGACTACTCCCCCCCCCCCTACGCAGCATTTATATTCATACCTGAGCTCTCCATCCAGCAGAACTCTCTTCCTTCTTAGCAAACATCTCATGTCCAGGTGGATAGTAGACAGGTGGCCCAGAAACGTTTTTACTTGGTAGCACTTCCTTTTTCTGCATGTCGTTCGCTTCTTCTGCTTGTCGCTTCAAAGTATCGATTTTCTTTTGATGCACCACTTCCTTTTCGTGCGCTACGAAACCTACATTCAACGGACTGGTCGGCGGCTGAAAAATAAAAGTTTGTATAATATTACGTCTTTGATTCCAAGGTCAAATTTCCCTCATCTTAATTTCTACCAATCACAAACGCGCAATTTTTAATTGCAAATGGTTTCTAAATGGAAAAATTGTATAACAGCACCTGTCAGCAGTTTTATCGAGTTACCCGTGGAAAAACTTGACAGCTGTTGTCACAAAAATTACAATACCTTTGATAACAAGTAATTATGGTCTCCTAGGCAGCAGATAATCTGTTACTCACTCATTAAATAGTTGATCGAATACCATTGGGGGATCTAATTTTTTCCTGTGAAAAAAATCGAAAAAACAAAATGCAAAGTAATACATTTTTAACATTACTTCGTAACAAGTTTTTACGATTTTTTTCAGAAAAATTGGATGCCTTTATGATATTACTTATTCAAATTACATTAACTCTTATTGAGAGTGTATACTATTATTATTTGATGTAAGATTTGAATCATGTCTATTCAGAACTAGATCAAGGTAATACCGTTGTAAGTCTCATGTTTGATTTATCGAAAACATTTGACAGCCTGAGTGACGATATACTATTAGAAAAACTACAGTCACTTGGTCTTAGAAGTATTATTTTAAACTGTATCGATTCAAACTTATCGAACAGAGGTATTATTGTAAGTATTGACAAATTAGTGTCTGATAAATATCCAGTTTACCTAGGTGTACCGCAAGGATCAGTGTTGGGACCATTGTTATTTATACTGTTCATAAATGACCTTCCAAATTTCATTTCGAAGGGTAAACTCACAATGTTTGCCGATGATACTACTCTTAAGGTTTTCGGCAGTTCTGTTGAAGAACCTTATAAGTCCGTTAAAAATGGTTCTTTTTGAATACTCCTTTTTTTACATAATTTTTAATTTTTCAATTATTTTAATGCGTTGTACATATATTATAATTTTAAATTTCAATTGATTATTACGTATTTTGTGAATGTATCTCCGAATAACACACATTCCATCTTCATTCTTTTTTGTGACTTGCCGTTTGAACCATGTGTTGGTATTTTGACTTGATGAAATAATATAATCATAAAATATGTATTAATTTTATATCTTTTAATATCTTCAAGGTGCATAATCACATTACTCATCTTTCTTATCAAATATGACATATTTTGAAATGACCGGTTCAATGATTTCCAACTGACGTACTTGTTTTACTGGACTATAGTTGTTGAAGATTTCCTGGAACGGATGTTCAGCCGGTATCTGGATTCAACTGTTTTAACGGTTTTTTCGCGTTAGATATCCAAGAAATCGTCGAGAAAGCGATTTATAGTGATTTTATGAGGAAACCTTTATTGTACCTGATAAAGTGTATTAATGACACGTGGATTTAGTGTGTTATGTGACTTCTTTGCACTTTTAAGGAAGGCGGATTACGCGGTACAACCAAACAGTGTCGAGTGAATATGTGGAAACCGTAATACAAAGTGGTGAGTGCTTTATTTTTTGAATATTTGCTTATTCTATAAAGTGTGTACAACTTCGAAGAAGGCCTGGGAATTTTACCGGACAGACAGCACATCGACGAAATTGTGTGCGATGTGTTTTTCTTGCTCAGCCTTGTATGGATGCAAAAATTAAAAGAGACTTTTCAAGTTTCTGGAAATCTTGTTCGGTACCGGTTAATATTTTGGTACTTTTGCGTCTTGTAGAAGTTCGGATTTCACTGTTTTTCACTTGAAACTTCTAGAGGGTAGTCTGATAGAGTATTTTAAATAAAAAAAAGTGTGGATGAAGTACGCTTTTCATGCATTTTTTCCCAAAAGACGTATTTTTAGCAGTTATTTCTACCATTTTTCACACCGCCATCTGCCATATGACGACGTTGACGTCTGTGCATATGTCATATATGCGAGGCGCTTGTCTGCGGTGTTGCCGGATTGGGCATTTAGGGAAAATGAAACTGTGGAAAATCTATATATGTACATTTATATTAATCAATGAAACACAAAAAGGGAAAATTGAAACAAACAACACTAGCAAAATAAAAAGCGGTTCTTAATAAGTATAAAACAAAAAATAACAGTAGTAAGCTAACACACAATAAATTGTAAATAATTATAAAAAACAAAAAATAAAAACAGTGGTAAAGCAAAACAAAAACAATACCATGTAATTATAAAACACAAAAAATAACAAACAGTAAAATAGAAAGCTATTCTTTGTGATAACAAAAAACAAAAAGTAAAAACAGTAGTAAAATGAAAAACGTTTCCATGTACTTAACTATAAAAAAAATTGCGTTTTATTTTACTGTTTGTTATTTGTTTTTTATAATTACATGGAATAGTTTTTTTTGTTTTACTATTTATTTTTTATAAGTATTGTTTTTTAGCTTACTATCGTTATTTTTTGTTTTATACTTATTAAGAATCGCTTTTTATTTTGCTACTGTTGTTTGTTTCAGTTTTTCGTTTTTGTATTTCATTAATTAATTTATGTATTATAAATTTTCCACTTTTTATATTTTTCCCTAAATGCGGAGCCCAATCCGGCAACACCGCAGGCAAGCGCCTCTCATACATGACATATGCACAGACGACAACATTATATGGCCGATGGCGGTGGAAATAATGGTGAAAATAATTGCTAAAAATACAGTGTTTTGGGAAAAAATGTTCTAGACAAGCGTGCTTCATCCACACTTTTTTTCATATAAAATAATCTATCGGACTACCCTCTTTAAGGTTCAAGTGAAAAAACAGCGAAATTCGAAGTTCTACAAGACGCAACAGTACCTAAAAAATGTTCTAAAAAAAGAGTTCCTGGTAGGAAGACATACAAACCTCGTTTCCGATAGTAGCCATAAGTTCATCAAGTTTCTTTGGAGGTCCATCCACACGCTCATCAGTAGGGAACCTGTGAGGTTGCAAAAGGGGTTGCGAATCTTCGCCCTTCCAAACGTTCTTGGAGCTTTCCGTAGATTTGTACGAATAGTTGATGTTGATTGGCTCATTTGGTCGACCTGAGAGAAGGAATGACAACCATATTGAACCGTTTGTGTACACTTTTCAGTAGACCACAGCAAACAGCAACAATAATTAAAATGTGTGTATGGGGTATTTCTAAAACATTGGAAAACATTCAGGAGCGACATTTGACTGTGCTTTTACGATTTTCGTGTCCAATGTGCTAACTCCGATATCTTTAAGCCTCGAACAGCGTCTCAGATAAACAAAGGCACAAGCTGGCACGCCATCTTACCATATCTGTTAATATCAAACTGCTCTTCAGGACTCTTAGGTCGTTTATCCCCAGGACCATAAGTGTGATTAGTCGTATGTGATTCATGTTTGTACATTACGGTTTTTTCTTGTGGGGGCGGTTGAACCACCCTATTAGTAGTGTTATGCGTTTCCTTCATTATGTAAGTGGTGCTTCCTGGGGTGCCTGAAATTGCCGATACGCGCTATACCACCGCATGCTTTTTACAAACGAAAATTGCGCCATGTTATTTGGATTAGTAGCTTTTGTATAAATGTATGTGTATAAATATAGGGATTTGGAGAAATGAAAACTCGGAAATAGGGGAAAGTCGGCTATACTGTATATATACTCGTACATTTCTAACGTCATCTAGATAGCCTGTTTGATGCCAAAACATACTTGACGTGGCAATTTATTTAATGATTGCTTATTTTACGAGGTCTTAGGCTGCTAAAATTTTACCTAACTTCAGGTTTTGAAAAGAAATAAAACACCTACCGGTTTGGCAACGTTTGTTAAATTGTACCGGAATATCACAAATTGGATGCATGAAAGCTGTGCTTAGTCCATAGTTGACTAGAATATGGGATTTTTGTACCTAGATTAAATATTGTCAGTTATGTTTTTGTTTTGTACAATGTGCCTCCAAATCGGTAAATCTTATGTTCGACTTCTATGAATAAAACTTTTCGATTTGTACTGATATCTTAAAATTGTAACGTTTTTCTGGGTGTGGATTAAAACACCCGATTCCACAAAAAGGAATGCACTAATTTATTTATCTTGACTAGATAGAACATTTATCTACACCACTATTTATGTCTGACTAATTCTTATGTCGCGCCATTGACTGAACTATACTCCACTCTGCTCTACTGTACTCTGCTTCGGTCTCCCGACCGTCGAGTTATATAGTCCGCATCGTTGGTTCGAGAAGATTCCGGTGAGCCGCATAGCGGCATTCCAGAATCCTCGAGGTCACTTCGCGTCGATCTAGAAGGCGAGTCAGTGGCACGGTCCTCAACAGATATCGTCAAGCGGCATGTGCGGTCGCGATCCGCGTAAAAACAGAGATCTGGAGAGAGTCTGGCGCGGTCCCAACAGATGGCGCCAACAGTACTATCCATTCTTGTTACAAAGTAATTTGTTAGGGTAATATTTATGATCTCTATGCGTAAATGCTAAACAAAACGTCCAGTGCATCACGATATTTCGTTTTCATATACCATATGTTCCACTAACAATGAAAATATAATGCTTTTTGGTAAACAACAAACTTTACGAACCGGTTTGATTGATTTCACTATTAGATTTTTTTTAAATCTTATTCTAAACTGAAAATATTTGCATAAGTTTTTTGTTATCTATTTTGATAGAAACATGTGAAATAATCTTATATCAAATTATCAATAAATTCAAATGTTAAAAATTGCCAAATGGTTCAATTTACACTTTACCCTATAAAATGTTGTCTTTTGAAGTCCATGAACACATTAATCCCCTTGAAACATCAAACATTTTCAAAATATACAAAACTGTCAACAACAGCAGTTTCCAAAGTTTTTAGAATTAGAGAAGTTTTGAGAAAATGGCATAGATGTCAAAGTGGTCTCCCTGATTTTTAATTTACCACATCCTATCTTTTTTACTCCTACAGTCATATTCCGTTTTCTAAAAATAACACTTAAACCAGTTTTTGGGTAATATCTGTTTTCTGTCACATTACATGAAGAAAACAGATATACTCGTATATGTGATAAGGAAGGTAAAAGTTCCTACAATTCAAGTAATTATAGTTTTTTGTATGATTATTGATTAACTTAAATATAAATTTGTTTTTCCGACATATGAGATACCAAAATAAAATACGGACAGAACACGTCAAAATATGTCGAAAAAGAGTTATTAGTGGCGCAACTGGGAAACATATGAGGTAGCAAAATAAAAAATCGGAAAAACCACCTCGAAATGGAGGCCAACAATCCAAACATGCCCAAAACTTTCCAAAAAAGCTACCAACTGATTCAACATACAGTAAAGCATCTTTTTAGAGTATCGAAAGAGCTTATTGAAAGTTTCTGTATTTCGAAAATTTTTGAACAATCTATTAGAATGTTAATTTTACCTCTGCCTTCCGGTGGATTATATACAGGGTATCCACGTTCTGAGTACGGTAAGTTCGATGGTTCGTTCCTATTTACAGTGCTAGTATTGTGAGATTCCTTCAGGATGTAAGTTTCTCTGTTAGTAGTGGGAGGTGGAGCATAATGCTCGTTTTTAGTAGAGGTGGAACTTTCCTTCAACATATACACGTCCTTCCTTGGCGTAGAAGCTGGTGGATATCCTAAATATAAACATTATATACAGGATGCGTTATGAAACAATGTAATACAAAGTGTTTTAATAAAGTGCCTGGATAAAGCCAACTTTGTGAGATGATTAATTCTGGGCAATGCTAAGAAAAAAGGTTTATACAGGCTGCGGCAGAGAGGATGGACGGTTTTAAAAAAATCATAAAATAGTTAATTTTTCCCAAAAAGGTTCGTCCTCTCTGCCGCACCCTGTATGAACTAAGCTCAGCAATGCTTCATTTTCAAGATACTATGTCCTATTTTTTGAATTAATTTTTTTCTCGTAAATATAATAATTTTATTCGAGTTTCTGTAAATTCACTAACATTTACCAGGCACAGAAATTTAATCAAGAAAAATCCAAAAAACGATTCCTCAAACCTACAAATGACTATGGTTATTTAGATCGCCGATTTCAAGTCCATGTATTTTTTGAGACGTTTTTATTTTATCAACATATTTTCCTTAGTCGTTTATTTTAAAGTATCAGGTGATTGATTTGGATGTAACTACTCACCGTTTTCAACATTCTTCGTGGTTGTTGTTTCATTGTACATGTATGTTTGTCCTCTAGTTGGTGGATTCAGTTCCGGACTATATCCTGGCTGATAGTTCGTGGTGGTAATTGTTTCCTTCACCACGACACCTCCTGGAGGTGCAGGCTTTTCATATGGTCTGTGGAAAAATTAAAAAAAATAGTCAATGTGATAACGTAAATAAGAACATCATCACAAAGAAATCAAGGGGTAGAACAAGTAGTTGAACATGGAACATAACGTTCAAATAATTTTCCCGCCATAATGCCTTAAGAAGCTTTTTTTGTTGTCCCATTCATTTTAAGAAATACATAGGGTCTCTAATTTTCTCTAGTTTAATTTGCAACAGGATGAGATATTTCCATAGTATAAAGTGAAAAACAGAGATACAAAGTTTCGAAGTCATCACTCGAAAATACAACGTTGGAATCATGTGAATAAATTGCCTACCTGTAGTTATCAGTGACAGTTTTCTCTTCATAATATTCGTCTTTCCTCAGTTTATAAGTTGGTGTTGGCGACCTGTAGGTGGTGGTATTTTCCTTGTTTTCCACCTTGTTGTAAACAAAACTCTTGCTGGGTGTTGTTATCGACGTGTTCGGCGAGTAGACGTGGGAGGTATCTGCAATATTCGATCACATATTTAATACCCTAGAATTAGAAAACTAGAAAATGAGTGACAATAGCGAGAAGGAAAGGCTGACTGCAATCTACACAACAAAACTCATTCTATAATAAAATATTCATGCCATATGGTGCAATTCGGAAGTATATGCGGTGCATAAAGATATATAGAGTATAGGATTGATGATAGTTATGTCCAAACTGATACAGTAGGCCTTTTTTTTACATTGAAATAGATATAGCTACACAGTTCTCGTTACTTCGGTTATTTTCTAAAGGTAAAAGTACAGCAAAGTTGTAGTTGTAAAGTGGCTGCAACTACTTAACAAAGACAGATGTGATAGCAATTGTATAGCCTATTTAAACAAGCGATTAGTGTCCCACCACATCTAGTCATGCGTTTTAAATAGCATGACACAAATTGCGTGCATAAATGGGCTCTAAGCTCGATTTGGTACAGTAGCGTCAGTTATACGGTACTTTTGAACATAACTAGCTGGAAGTACAAAAATAAATATAAATAGTAGTATAGAAGTTAGAAGACTCGCTTTCATATTATTAATCACACAATAGACCAAAAACCTTTGTGATAGGCGCTGGTGGAATCTGAAAGACTATTCTTTAAAAATTCATCAGAATTTCGGAAATACCAACCATAGAAAACGCGTACCTTGATAATGGCGGATGTTTGCTTTTCGATCTATCTAAGACATTTGAGACTATAGATAAAAATATGTTGAGTTAAACATTATGAGTATAAGAAGTTTCTTTTAGAATTCTCTGATCTCATACATGGAGGACAGACAATTTAAAGTGAATTATCTACAGCATCCGATGTGTATCCATGTAAGTCATTCAAAATTCAACGAATTTTAAATTAGATAAATTTAGAACCAGGTGCCAAAGAAACCGGCAAACCCTAAATTCAAGCAAGAGTATTGTAGTAAATTCTAATATCGCATAATTAATATAGAACTGGCCACTCGGCACATATTCTGAAAGCAGACTAAATTTTCAGGAACTCATTGATCATATTTGTAAAAATTTAAGTAAAGCATATTTTGCTATTCTGCAGGTAAGAGATTTTCTAAACGAAAAAGCTCTAGTGCATATACAGTGCTTTTCTTTAATGTCCCCCTTTGATTTTGTCTTGTGACACATCATTTTGAAGCTCCTGACGAGTACTTTATAACCCTAGAATATAAAGTCAATACCTTTACCTACTACAAAATTGTGGTATATTTAATAATTACTTGAACACAAGCCCACTAACATGCATATCTCTACAAATAAGAGTAATTCCCTGCCGTATCCACAGTAACAGCGATAAAAACTTGTTTTGTTATTTTTGGTTGACAGTGACAAGAATATCCTATTCCAACTAAGTCTTATTATTCATCCAATTACTAGATAAAATTCAACAAATTAGTAATTATATTTCATCCAAAAATGAAGTTAAGAAATTATTGTTGAACAATTCATTTTACACTGTACTTGGGATGTACGAACTTGCACTCGAGTATGTAAGGATGGTATCAATAGTTATTCATTAATTGATGTGAATTGTTACATTTTTATAACCTCTATTGTTTTGTATTACATTTTTTCACAGTATGTACAAATTTGTATCAAGTGGATATTAATAAAGAATAAATAACGATATGTAATATTTCCCGCACATCTACTGTTGTCAAGAATTTTGAGAGGTTGCTATATATTTTCACTCTATTTTTTGTTTTCAATAAAACGAATAACACAGCACACTTGGCAGTCAGTGAGACATACAATATCCACATACGGGTATCGACACAACTCTTTAAAAACTAGGCTGAACATTTGGACGAATACGTGGCTGACGCCCAGCTTCAAGATAATTTCATTACATCTCTTTGGAGCTAATTTCAATACCTCAAAGGATAATAAATGGAAGAGGTATAAAAAATCAACATGTGTTAGAACGTCGCAGAAGTTTTCCCAACACCCTGCTCATCTAAATCTACCAGAAAACGAAAAACACAAAAAGAACGACAGCAAAGATCAGCATGCAACAACTTCATGTGCTCATGCGCATGCTTGGTAGCAGCGGGCCTAGATCGTGCCCATCTCTAACCTTCCTGCGTTTGAGTGCTTAGGTTGGTGGGATAGTCTCCAGATCCAGGTATTTCGTAGGTATATGTCTTGATGGTGGTGGTCACCTTGGTGTTTCCAGGAGGTCTCAGTTTAGGGTCCAGGTGAGCTAGGACTTCCGGTTCGATGTCTGGTACCACCGTTTCTCGTACTTCCAGCGGATACGAGTGAATATTCTTTACTTCAGTTTTCTTCGATAGCGTGGAAGTGCGAGATGCATTGGAAAGAGCACCTGGCGAGACTGGACGGTGCATGGCGCCTTTACGAGGATAATTTTATTTTCAAAAAGATAAATAGACAAACATGTTATTTCAAGCAATTTAACAAATATTGAACATTATCGAACAACAGAAGCTAAAGAGGTTATTCATTAAATGACAGATAAAGTGGGTCAAGATTAGTCGTCGACTGACTTCTGATATTGAAGAACAAAATCTGCTTGTTTCCTAACATCAAAGATTGTAAAACTCCTACAACAGATGGAAAAGAAACTACACAAACAGTTTCCTATTATATTGACAAAAAGGATACTCCTAATTACGCATTTCAATATTCTCGACTGAAAGATTCCCAAAGAATATCAGTGTTGCAAGACATCATCAAACGAAGCTTAAGAAAGCCTGGTAGCAAAAGCTATTGCTGATAAAGTGGAATCAGAAATCTAACAGATATTGAGACAATTGACAATAAAAAGAAATGTAGCTTCTGTTTTCTGAGATCTTTACATAAAGACAGAGAAACATTCCCGCTTGGAGATAAAGGTGGTCGCCTACAGCAATGATATATTCTTTATAGGAGATAAAAGGAAATAATAAATTTCGGAGTGACTAACACCTTCTCAAGTTCACTAAAAAGATATCCAATTCAACAGGGTAAATACAGATATTTAAATTCATACTTATATGAAATAAATTCTACGTACTTTCTTCTTTATACTCGTAGTTTCTTCGATTGAGGGAGTCCTCTCTGTGTTCCTTACGTTCGTGGTGCTCCATGCGTTCTAAAGTTCTTGAAGTTTGTCTTGGTTCCAGCGAATGGGCGTTGAAAGTCTCTGAAATAACCGTGAAATTGATACAAAGTAAGTAACGTACCGGCGGACATTTCATATCGTACATTTATTTTTTTGTTAAGCCATCATATCGCTATTCCAGCTGTCAGATCATGTCAGTATGTATTCAGAGTGATTCAGAAAAACGTGTCAATATATTTATGGTAGAAAGTACATCGAAAAATAGCAAAAACACTTGGTATAAAAATACGTCCCAGAATATATCATTACCAAGGTGCAGGGCGTTGTATATTTTTACGTCACTGATGAGACTGAATAAAGACAAAACATGATCATTGTTCAAATAACGCAATGTTGAGTTATTCTCCTAATACTCTGCACACAATTTTCAATGTCAAACTTCGCTAACTTGAGTGCATTTTCAAAGAAGGGTTGAGGCTTTAAGCGCAAATGTTACTTAAAATATCCGAACCAATGCTCCAAAGAAGTAATTCGTGTAAAATTGAATACCTTATCCAAAAATGCG